GATTACACTGAGACTTTTGCACCGGTGGCTAAAATGACAAGTGTGCGTACATTTTTATCTGTAGCTGTAGCTCGAAAATGGAGCATTTTTCAGCTGGATGTTCAAAATGCCTTTCTCCATGGCGATTTGGATGAAGAAGTCTTTATGCGTTTTCCTCCCGGTTTCTCCCAAACCAAGTCTGGTCACGCCTGTAAGCTTCAACGTTCACTTTATGGTCTCAAGCAATCCCCACGAAATTGGTTTGCTAAGCTTCGTAGTTCTCTCCTCAGTTTCGGCTTTGTTCAGTCTCGTGCTGATTATACGTTGTTCACTTACTCGACTGGTTCCCATTATGTTGCTATACTTGTCTATGTAGATGATATTTTGTTGGCAGGTAGTGATCCTTCTCTCTGTGACCGTGTCAAAGCTCATTTACAAACCTGGTTTAAAATCAAAGATCTTGGTCCCCTCAAGTATTTTCTTGGCATTGAATTTGCTCGAAGCAAGACCGGTTTGTTTCTTACTCAACGCAAATTTGCTTTGGATATTCTTAAGGAATGTGGACTTCAAAGTTGTAAACCGGTTGCTTATCCTATGGATCCCAATCACAAGCTTGCTCTTGCTGAAGGACCTCCGTTTGATGATCCTAAACGTTATAGACGTATTGTTGGCCGTCTTGTATATCTCACGATTACACGACCAGAACTTAGTTATGCAGTTCACACACTTTCTCAGTTTTTGCAGCATCCTATGCAGATACATTACGATGCGGCTATTCGTGTTCTTCGGTACATTAAGTCCAATCCTGGCCAAGGACTCCTTCTTCGATCTGACAGTGATCTTCTTCTTCGTGCCTATTGTGATTCGGATTGGGCTAGTTGTCCCTTGACTCGAAAATCAGTCACTGGTTATTTTGTTACTCTTGGACATTCTCCTATTTCTTGGAAAACCAAGAAGCAAAACACAATATCCCGCTCCTCTGCTGAAGCTGAATACCGTGCCATGGCAGCTGCGACTTCTGAGCTTATTTGGTTAAAGTCTTTTCTCAGCTCTCTTGATATTCCTCATGCAGCCCCTATGCAACTGTTTTGTGACAGTCAGTCTGCTATTCATATTGCTTCTAATCCAGTGTTCCATGAGCGTACCAAGCATATCGAGTTAGATTGCCATTTTGTTCGGGACTATCTTCTCAGCAAGACTATTTCTACTCAACATATCCCCACTAGTTCTCAACCCGCAGATATTATGACCAAAGCACTTGGATCCAAACAATTCGATTTTTTGACTTCCAAGTTGGGCATCTCCTCCCTCCATGCTCCACCTTGAGGGGGAGTATTAGAGTAGCATTAATTTGTTAGGATCCTGATTGTAACTATCACGGTTTGTTACCTTGTATATTAAAATAGATTAGCTTGATTTATGCTTTCTGTTCCTTAGTTTTAGCTGATTTCCTGATGTAAATAGATTAGCTTGATTTATGCTTTCTGTTCCTTAAGTTTAGCTGATTTCCTGATGTAAATAGATTAGCTTGATTTATGCTTTCTGTTCCTTAAGTTTAGCTGATTTCCTGATGTAACCAATTGTAAATCTTGGTCTATATAATAGACCCAATTTGATATATCATCAAGCTGCGAATGACAGCAACTTCTGTTAAGGTTGGATGAAAGAATGGGTGGTGCTATCCAATGCCCAAGACCTGTCTCACAACATATTTTCAAGTTTTAATGATATAAATGGCACATCTCAAAGAAACAATAAACGATCGAGGGCTGTAACACTCCGAGGGTATATATATGCGGTCGTGTGTTCAGCACCTTAAAAGAATAAGCATAAATTATCGAAGAAAGGTTTTGGTAATTACTGTCATAATAAGTAAGGTAATATTATTGTTCTGTTACAGGAAATAGAGACATTTTTCCTAGACATACAAAAATTTAGGAGAGAGAAGAAAAATTGAGGTGAGAGAAAAATTTTCCACGGGTCCCATCTGTAGAATATCTTTGCATTTTATTTTGCAATAACATAAGAATCGAATTACCTAAATAAGTATTTAAAACCATTTCGTTAAAGTATCCTACCAAATGCTTGGTCCAAGCACCAAAGTTTCCTAACCGCTAGCTTGCTCTCTAAGCAATAATTAATGGGGTTTGATTTTCTCATGTTAAATGAGAATTCAATTCTCATGTTGTAGAGATAAAAAGCATGTGGACCCATGTGTTAGAAAAAATTATATGTAGGACCCATGTCAGCACGAGAATCGAATGGTGTGTAGGAAAATTTGAATTCTCGTGTTAAATGAGAATTATAAAACCCATAATTAATAACTTGTCAAATAATCACCTACTTGACAAGATGCAATTGCAATCAACATCAACACACTATCAATTGCAACCATGTGAATATCAACAGATATTCACAACCATAGCAAGGAACATACACCACTCATATTGTCATGAACTCACCTTCACTTGAAATAACTCAAGTGCCAATATCAAGCTCCATTGGCTCTTCCAATACTTGATCAATCAAGATATGTCCACTTGCCTCCAACCTAGAAGCACCATGCACACTGTCAATACCAACAATCCAAATCACATTACTTGAAATGCAAGAATTAACACTATCTAGGCCTAATTTTCAAAATTTGATGAAGATGGATAGAATGATCTTTCAAATACATTTTCACCATTAAAATCATCATCTAAACACTTTTCCTAACATGGCCTAAGCCTCAATCATGCTCATTCAAAGACTCATTTTCATAGAAAATTCTAGAAATCAATCTTTCACCAAACTTAATTATGCAAGGAAGAGATTGCAAGCCTCCAACGCGATCAAATCACACCCAAGACACTCAATCAACAATGGGTCGTCACTTTCATCACGATTTTTCTCTCAATACCAAGCTTTTTAGAGGAAAGTGGATTATAGGTTAGGTTGAGGGTGAAAAACTAAACAACTTTGCTTCAAGAATCAAGTGATTTGGATGAAAAATGAAGGAGTTGTGTTTTGATCTCCAAGAGCAGCAGTGGTTCGGTTTGGAGAGAGAGTTTCGAGGTAGACGAGAGAAAATGAGTTTAAATGAGTTGTATCACCTAATTGAGTAAAAATTTATCTATCCCGTTATATTAACTCTTTTTTAAACTTGTCCTGTTGGTTCAAAATATTTTTACAATAATATTCCCTAACTTATTTTTAAGTTCCGGATAATTTTGTCTATACACATTTTTTATCTCTAAAACTCTTACTAATTGCACTTTTGCCCAAAAGTGAAACTAATTCATTTATTTAAGTCTTTTTGCTCTCTTAAATGTGTCTTCCTAGGATACACACATACCACATTGATTGAACTAAGCATCACACTTATTTTATCAACCACAATTAATTTTTTTCATTTTTCAACCATTCATTTCAAATTGATCAATAATAACCAATCAAATAGTAAGAATGATAAACTTAAAATGATAATAAATATAACTTTTCCAAAATTTATAACCTCTTTGCAACTTATTTTTCTCATATAATATTCCAGTGTCATTTTCTCTCACCTTTTCGCTCTTGTTGTTGCCATTCTCAGCAATAAAAACTATTACACGCATTGTATGTGAATACAACAACTGCTTTGTATATCAAAGTTTTAATTTGAGCCCTAAAATTGAAAGTAAATATTTGGCCTCATAACAGACATAGAAAGACACTCCATAGTAGTTTATTTTACACCATATTGGGTTCAGTTTTTCGATTTTCCATTATGAGTTGTACCAAAATATGAATAGCTAAATATATCGTTAACATCTATTGGAAAATTAGAATCTAATAATTGAGAAATAACTATACTTTAAAATTAATTTCTGTGGGGATTATGGTTGTTTTGTTCTTTGGATTGATGAGAAAGGCAATAACAAGAGAGAGAAATATGATCTCATGGAGGGAGAGTTACGGATCTAGAGAAAAAACGAAAGAAAATAAAATTGGAAATTATATAAAAAGATTATGGGTAGTTAATGAACACAATAATCTAACAATAATAAATAGTTTGTAATATAATGGTCCCATATATATATATATATATATATATATATATATATATATATATATATATATATATATATATATATATATATATATAAAGATTATATTTACAAACTTTTTGTTTACAAACTACATTAAGTATAACCGGTCATACACTGTATGGCCGGTCATACTTAGTATAATTTGTAAAAAAAAATTGTAAATGGATCATTTCCCTATATGTATATATATATATAGGAACAAATATTTCTACAGCCACTTTAGTTATCTACAGCTATCATTTATAACTATGTTCTACTGAGAGAACATAGTTATAACATTAAATTTGTTTTTTTTTCTCTCCTCAGTTACTTTTCAGAACTTGTTTGCTGACGTGGAGAGAGAAAAAAACAACTTTAATGTCATAATTATGTTCTCTCGGGAGAACATAGTTATAAATGGATAGCTGTAGATAAGCTTATATAAAGTGACTGCAGAAATATTTTTTTCATATATATATATATATATATATATATATATATATATATATATATATATATATATAGAGGAAAATGTTATATTTACAAATTTTTTGTTTACAAATTACACTATGTCTGACCGGTCATACACTAATTAAAAGTGTATGACCTATACTTAATGCAATTTGTAAAAAAAAAATTATAAATAGACCATTTCTTTTTTTAGAAATAGAAAAGGTAAATTAAATCATTGACTATTGACTTTTAAAAAAAAAAATAAAGGACGTTAGGTTTATTCCCTGCAATCCGTGGCTAGCAACATCTGCTTTTCTACCCATCCTCATTTATCCTTGTTTGGATGTTCCTGAACACTAATTTCTTAATTTACAATAAGTAATAAAAATTTTAAAGAATGTGACAATAATTATTTGTAATTATAATAAAAGATCTTTTGAGAAGTTCGTTATTAGGAATGGGTTAGGTACGTGATTCACACGCGCACCTTTCTTTTTCCTCTGCTAGGGCACAACGATGAGTTCAACTAAGGAAGACCATGGTAAAACAACACAAATGGCCACAGATACTCAGGAGTTAATGAGGAGAAGCATCAAGCGATCAAAAAATGGGGAGGAATTTTCCCCAGATTCGTCTAATAGAGGAGCTAGCTTGGGAAATATCCAGGCGCGGATACCCTCGGGGAAACCGAAGTCGTTCGCGGAGGCGCTCAGATCTGAGGTACTCTCGATGGGGGAAGATGATACCTGGAATGAGGACACCATGGATGAACCTTGTGAGCCTCTTGATCCCGAACAAGGAGTCATCAACGATTTGGGCTTTCAAACTATCTACGGAGAAGATGGCTCTGTCCGATTTCGTTGTACTAAGGAAGCCAAGCAAAGGTTGAGGAGCCCCTGGAAGAATGCAATCATTGTCAAGCTCTTGGGAAAGAAAGTGGGTGTCATGTATATGAAGACAAAACTTGAGAGTCTATGGTCGAAGCTAGGCTCTATTGTTGTAGCTGATTTGGGAAACGATTTTTTCTCAGTCAAGTTCTCGAGTGTGGAGGATCTGAATCTAGCCTTAACAGGAGGCCCATGGGTCCTCATGGGTCACTACCTTGCCATAAGAAGATGGGAGCCGTTTTTCAACCCTTACAAAGCAAATATCCATACAGTTGCTGCTTGGATTCGTCTACCAGGTATCCCGTTAGAGTATTGTGTGCTATCAGTTTTGAAAATGATAGGTAGTTCAATTGGTAAAGTGTTAAAGATTGATAAGACTACATCCTCTGGTGATAGGGAAAATTTGCTAGAATTTGTGTTGAATTAGATTTATCTAAGCCGTTGAGGGGAGAATACATCTTAGAGGAAGAAGTCTTCAAAGTGGAATATGAAGGATTGTACTTGATTTGCCTTAATTGTGGTAAATATGGCCATAACATAGAGAAGTGCTCTGTCATTAAGAAACCGGTTGAGGAACACAATATGCAGGATCCCATGCCAGAAGTTGATAAGACTAGTTGCAGCCAAGGAGTGGGCCCATGGATGGTGGTGCAGAAGAAAAAGTTTGCTAAGAAGCAACCTAATACCAAGCATGTAGGGCCAGAGGGCAGAACCTTTGGAGATGACATCTCTAATAAGAGGAACATCAGCCAAAGGAAAGACTCCTCTGTGACTAATATGGGGCCTTCTGCTTCGAGTCTCCAGCTTCTAAATAGTCCCCCTAGTCAGGGGAAAGGGGAACAGAAAGAGAATAAAGATGGATCCTCCCATCAGGCCTTTACCCTGGTAGCAAATAAAAAACCTGTCTCGGGTTCAAAAAAGTCTCTTGGAAAGGGTACCTATAAACCCAAGGTGCAAGATACGAGCAGTACCTTTGTGTTTGCTTCTACGACCCCAGCAGTAGGTCAAAGCTCTAAATCATTAGAGCTCCCTTCATCCAACCCTGTATTCAGGAAGAAACTGTTGAACAAGGGTACTAAACTCCCAGACTCGGGTAATTGCCCTATGAAGGAGCCTCCATCTCTTGATGCAGACAAAGTCCTCTGTTCTAAAATTGCCATAACCAAGATCAGTGAAAACCCTGGACCTCCCCCCAACTGTGTTCTATGCGTTGTGGAGGGGGAGTCTTCTGACATGGATATTGGTAAGTGCAATAGTGAAGAAAAAATTAGTGAAAATGACCCTCCTGCTAGAGTAATTCCGGAGGGAATGGATATGGAGAATAGTAGCAGCTTTGTGGCTTCAGACCAGTTGAATGAGAGAGACCAGGTTCTCAGTAATCCTGGATCAGAGATGGTTATCCAATGAACTGCATAGTGTGGAATTGTAGGGGTGCTGCCAAGAAATCTTTTAAAACATCCCTTAGAAACTTTATTAGGAAATATAAAGTTAGTTTGGTTGCCATCTTGGAACCAAGGATTAGTGGTGTTTCTGCCTTTAAAAAAATAAATCAGCTTGGTTTCAAGCATTTTGTTGTTGAAGATGCTGTTGGTTTTTCAGGGGGTATCTGGATCTGTTGGAAAGATGATTTCTGTAATATCTCCATCATAGAGAAAGCTAGTCAGTTCATCCACATGTCCTGCTGCTTAAATTCAGGGAGTTCTTTCTTGATTACGGTTGTCTATGCTAATCCTAGGGAGGAAATCCGTGAGTCTCTTTGGATTGACCTCAAGAGAGTTTGTGATAGTGTGGTGGGGCCTTGGGTCATGATGGGTGATTTTAATGAAATTGCTTCTGTGAAGGAGAAAAGAGGAGGTGCTCCTGTGAATATGACTAGATGTCAGAATTTCTCTAATTTCCTTAATGATTGCAACACTTTGGATCTGGGCTGTGGTGGTTCTGTTTACACTTGGAGGGGGCCTAAGTGGCTTCATCTTGACAGGGTCTACAAAAGGCTCGATCGTATCTGTGCTAATGCTGAGTGGAGAACTTTTTATGGTGAAGCCTCTGTGAAAGCTCTGCCTCGCCTCAACTCAGATCATAATCCCCTTCTGCTGTCCTTGTTTTCTCAGAAATCTTCCTGGAAAGAGAGGCCTTTTAGATTTGTGGTGGCCTGGCAAGATCATTCTACTTTCTCCCATTTCCTTAAGTTTATTTGGAATCCTCACCAGAAAATTTTTCTTAGTCTTATGGAGCTGATTGATCCCCTAAAATCCTGGAATAAAAGAGTGTTTGGTTGCATTCATCTTAGGAAGGAGATTCTTCTTAAGAAACTCCAAGATATTCAATTAAATATCCCTAGTAATCTGGACCAGCCCCATTCTGAACTGGATAAGGCTATCCAAGATGAACTCAACCGTGTTTTGGAGCAAGAAGAAGCTCTGTGGTTCCAAAAGGCGAGATGTAATTGGATTGCAGATGGAGATCGTAACACTAGATTCTACCACACCACCACCATCATCAGGAGAGCTAGGAACAAAATCCTTGAGTTGAGAAATCAGGATGGTTACTTGGTGAGAGATGAAGAAAGGCTGATTGAGTTGATTCATTCTTTCTTTAACAACCTGTTCTTAGAGGAAGACCAGAACAGGCCTTGGACTGTCACTAATTCCACTTGGCCTTCCCTTGATGATTCTGAGTTGAAGACTATGCTTGATCCCATTTCAGATATCATGATAAAGGAGGCTTATTTCTCTATGAAGGGCCTTAAAGCTCCTGGGCCGGATGGGTTTCCTCCTATTTTCTTCCAAAAGAACTGGGATATTCTGAAGACTCAAGTGATGGACTGTGTTAGACAGATTTGGTGTAATCCTGCTGCAGTGAAAGAATTAAACAAAACTTTCCTTGTTTTAATTCCAAAGCTGGATAAGCCTGACAAGATCACTCAGTTCCGGCCTATTGCTTTGTGCTCTGTGCTCTACAAGGGTATCAACAAAATTATTGTGGGTAAGCTCAAACCTATCTTAAATAAAATCATATCCCCCCATCAAGTCAGTTTTGTTCCTAACAGACATATCCAGGACAATATTGTCATTGCTCAGGAGATGGTCCATTCTATGAATAGGATGAAAGGAAAACGAGGTTTCTTCACTATCAAGATCGATCTCGAAAAAGCTTATGACCGAATGTCTTGGAGTTTTATTCATAAAGTCCTCTCTGAGATCAACCTCCCGGAGTCTTTGGTTAATTTAATTATGCAATGTATCTCCTCGACTGATCTAGAGATTCTCTGGAATGGGTCTAAGGCTGGGAATGTCATTCCGAGTAGAGGTCTGAGACAAGGGGATCCTATCTCGCCCTATATCTTTGTCCTTTGCATGGAAAAGCTTTCTCATATTATAGCTGACTCCATAGAGAAGAAGGAATGGAAACCGATGACAGCTGGTAAAGGTGGCCCTAGAATTTCCCATCTTCTTTTTGCAGATGACCTTCTGCTGTTCGGGGAAGCTAGTGTGGCCCAGATTGGTGTTATCCTGAACTGTCTTAATTTGTTTGGTCAAATGTCTGGGCAAAAGGTCAGCTATCCCAAATCCAGCATTTTCTTTTCCAAGAATGTCCCTATTAAGGTTGCTAATCCTATTGTGGCTCTTAGTGGTTTTGCCCAGACAAAGAATATTGGAAGATATCTGGGATATAGAATGAAGCATGGCAAAATTAGCAAGATTCATTATGGAGATATTATGGACAGGGTTAACAACAGACTTCAGGGTTGGAAAAAACAATGTCTTTCTATGGCTGGGAGAGTCACTTTGGCGAAATCTGTGTTGTCAGCCATGCCTATGTTTCATATGCAAAATAGCCTTCTCCCTAGGGGTCTTTGTGATGACATTGAGAAGCTCCAAAGGAGCTTTATTTGGGGTGATTCTGATACAAAAAGAAATTTCCATGCTGTTAATTGGGAGCAGCTTAAGCTTTCAAAGAATCAGGGGGGTTAATCATTGATCTCAAAGTTCAAAATGAAGCTTTTCTTCAGAAATGTGCTTGGTCAATCATTCAGTCTCCTTCTCATCTTTGGGTAAAAGTGCTGACGTCAAAATATGGTAGGAAGAAAGATCTTTCGAAAGAGACCATCTTCAAACCTTATGATTCTCATCTCTGGAAGAGCCTTTGTAAGATATGGCCTGCCATGTTAAACAACCTGAGTTGGCAGATTGGTAATGGTAAAAGTATAGCCTTTTGGACAGATAATTGGACTGGGCTAAGTTCCAATCTTCTTTCTTTTGCTACTGCTCCCCCTATAGCCGAAGACACTGTTCTAAAAACTAATCACAGTAACTTTGTTTCTGAGGAGGGTTGGAACATTCGTTATTTAGATCTTCATTTTGACAGTGATGTGGTGAACTGTATTTTGGCTATACCTCATCCTGTGGTTGATGGAGAAGATGATTTTCTGATGTGGAAGAATTGGAAACCTGGTCTTTCTGTTGTCAAAATTGCGTATAGTAATTGGAGTTTAGCTAATTCTACCACCCCTAATGGCTGTTGGAATCGAATTTGGAACTGGAAAGGGAAGGAGAGGGTCAAATTTTTCATGTGGAAGTTATTACATGAAAGATTGCCAACCAAGGAGATTACTGCCAAGTGGAGTGGTTCTCCGAATTGCTGCCCTTCTTGTCTTGATAAGGTAGAATCTTGCCTTCATGTTTTCAGAGATTGCCAGAAAGCACGTAAGGTTTGGTTTCTTCCTTTTTTCCACCCTCTTCCAACTGACTTCTTTAGTTCGGGTTCTTTTAAGGATTGGATGGCTTTTAATCTACTTTATAGTAACAGCAAAAGGAGGGATTGGAGGGATTTTTTCTTTAATACATGCAACTTACTGTGGACTTGGAGAAATAAGGATCTTCATGAAGAGAATTTCAAAAGAATGGATAATCCTTCCTCTATTCTTGCTGACTTAATAGAGGAAAGAAGGTTCTGCATCACAAAAGGTTCTCATATTTGTGCTGGTATTCTGCCTAATCCCATCCAATCTGTTTGGATAGTTCCTGCGCAAGGTTTTCTAAAGCTAAATGTTGATGGTGCTGTCCTTGGTGGTAAAGCTGCCTGCGATGGTCTCTTGAGAGACAGTAAGGGCGTTTGGGTTAGTGGTTTCACTGCTTTTATAGGTTCCTGCTCCCCCTTGCAAGTAGAACTTTGGGCGATTTTTAAAGGTTTAGTTTGTGGTTGGAACTACGGTTGGAAGAAAATAATGTTGGAGTCAGATTCATTACAAGCTATTAGCCTTCTTACCATAACTGGTAATGATACTCGAAAGCTTCCTTTGGTAGCTAAGATTCGAGCCTTACTAAACAAGGATTGGACTGTGTTATTGGGTCATGTTCCTAGGAGTTGTAATACTTGTGCTGACTGCTTGGCGAAATTAGCTTTGGATGACCCCCCTGGACTCACGTTTCTATCCTCTCCTCATAGTGAGCTTATCAACATGCTTGCAGCAGATCTTCTAGATCCAGGCTTGGAAGGATCTGTGTTTTGCTGATGGCTCTGTGTTTAGTTTTCTTGTTGCAGAGCTGTTTCTTTTCTTTCTGCTTTAGTTTGCTTTATGTTTAATTTCTTGCTGTTGTTTGTTTGTTTGGGGCCTTGCCCCTGTTGATTATCAAAAAAAAAAAAAAGATCTTTTGATTATGAAAAATACTAAATAAAAAATTATCAAGATTTTTTATTAAAAAAATTGGACATTATTTTAAATTCTTAAATAAATAAGTAATTTTAATTACTTTAATTTATCTAATAATCTTGATAAATAAATCTTTTTGAATTCCTGTCAATTTTTTCTAACTGTATGGAACTGACCATAGTGCTAGTGATCCAATTCCTAAATTGCGCAATGCGCATATATTCTTCACGTGACACAAAGCATGCGTACCATTGTTGTCAAAAAATTTAGTATAAAAGGCTAACAATTTATGTTTTTATTGAAGTGATACGTGTTAAAATATAAGTAAAAATTTTTCATAATAAAAATTGATAAAAGTTAAATATTTTTTTTTATAAAAGCATTGTTTAAAAACGATAGAAATACAAGTTTATATTTTTTACATAAATAAAAAACTTAACTAGGTCTTATACCCAAAAAAATTAAACCAAATCAACTTTTAACTCATCACTCGATTTTTTTTCTTAAAAAAAACATTTCTACCCCCTAAATCAAAATGCACAATGAAAAAAACTCTCGCACGAGGTTGCTGTTGTAGAGAAAGAAGATGATGAAGCTATTGGTGAAAAGTTTGAGTATCAAGCTGAGGTAGGTTTTAAATCAATCTATTACGTTTTGTTGCAAATAATTTGTTATAGGAGCAAGAAAATAGGACATTGAGGACATACAACTGATATAAGATGATGTGTTTGATTTGAACCAATTGATATAATTTAGCACTTGGTAAACTTTATTTTTTTGATGTTTTGGAATTTAATTGAAGTAGTTGTTAAACTTTTTTTGTGCTTTTGAACTTATCTCTTATATAGTTATATGACTCAATGTTGTCAAAATTGAGTTTTTACGTAAAAGCGGAAAAGGATTGTGGAAACGTAAATTGTAAAAACGACACGAAACGTAAAGTTTCTACTACTTAAGGTCAAGATACAAAATTATATATATGCATATAAAAAATATCACATAAGTCACTACTCAAAATTCAATGAATAACTTCATATTTAAAAGATACAAGTCATATAACTATATAAGGCATAAATCCAAAAATATATATATAAAAAAGTTTAACAACTCCTACAACCAAGTTCCAAAAAAATAATAAAGTTTAATAACTTCTAAATTATATCAATTGATTCGAATCAAACACATAATTTTGCATCAGTTGCATGTCCTCAATGTCCTCTTCTCTTGCTCGTATAACAAGTTCATTTGCAATAAAACGTAATAGATTTATTCAAAATCCACCTCAGCTTAGTACTCAAACTCTACACAAATGGCTTCACCATGTTCTTTCTCTGCAACAGCAACCTTGCCCAAGAGTTTTTTTTCCTTATAGCTAGAAAAAGATATACATTTTGATTTGGGGGAAATGGAAACAATTTTTTTTAAATAAAATAAAATTGAGTCATAAGTTAAAAGTTGACCCGATTCGTTGTTTGTGTGTGTAAGACCTGGTTTAGTTTTTTATTTAAATAAAAATGTATAAACTTATATTTTTATCGTTTTTACACGGAGTTTTTACCAGTTCTTACTTGCGTTTTAACACGTATCACTTTAGTAAAAACATAAATTTTTACGTTTTTATACTAGTTTTTGACAATAATAATGTGACTTATATATTTTAAATATGAATTTATTCATTAAATTTTGAGTAATGACTTTTATATATATATATATATATATATATATATATATATATAATTTTGTATTTTGACCTTAAATAATAAAAATTTACTTTTAGTATCGTTTCTACTATTTACCTTTTTATCATCCCGGCGGAAATTCAATTTTGACGACATGGATACTACCACCAAAATAAAGTTAATAATATTGGATATTTGTGCATATAATTTTTAATTCATGCAACTACAAGCAGTTAAGTTTACTAATAAGACTTCAATTATCAATTTTTATTAATTCAATATATAAGCTGTATATCCACAACTTCACATATTAAGAAGATAAAATTGGATGATGTTAACTGTGACTGTGAGTGCGTTGACATGTGTCATTCCCATGGCCCTATACTAATATTTCAAATCATCATCCTCTTGAAGACCTTTGCTTTCCTGGGACTGTCCCTCCACATTGCAACCTCTGAACCAAACGTTATCTTTGTTCATTTTCCCATTTTAGTACCCTTTAGAAAGTTCTTCAAAAGTGGTACTGTCCCTCCACATTGCAACCTCTCTCTTTTTTCTTTTTTTTAAGTTCTTGTCGGAGACTCTTTCTTCATTGCCATGGCTGTGGCAGAGTTGAACCCCACTTGCTCAAAATCTCTTCTTTACTCATCCCAAGTCTCGTTTATATCAAGGAATCTCCCTAGACACCGCCATTGTGCTTTTGCACCGCTTCATAGAACTCAACATGCTAGGATTTCTTGCTCTGTTGCACCAAAGTAAGCAACTTTTTTTATTTATTTGTTTATTTTTCATTCAACATATTCATTTAGCTACTTGGGTCTAACTGAATTTTCCGTATTTCACTTCTCAGTGAAGTGCAGGTGCAAGCTGTGCAAAACAAGGATCCTAAGAGTAAGTCTGATTGCTATGGGGTCTTCTGCCTTACCTATGATTTGAAGGCTGTAAGTATCCCATTACCCCTCTTCTGTATTTCATCCATGTATATATGTTGTTTCAGTTTGTCTTGAATCCAAATTTTGGGTTTTGTTCATGATTTTTTTGAGTAGGTTCCTTCCCCAGTACTGATCAATTTCTGGGTTTTGCTGTGAAGTTTGTTTGGTGTTTTGGAACTGAAGTTTGTTAAAAGTAGCGCTGATGGTGTTTGTCAATATGGGCATGTTGATACATGGTTTCCTTTACCGCATGTATTTAAGCTATATACATAGAACTAGATTGGTGTATCTCTGTCTTTAATTGCACTTGTCTTGATTCCTCCTCTTTTGTTAAGTTTGATCTGTTCGGATGCCTGACCCTTTCTGTTAAAACACCAATAGATAGCCAAAATGCTTCAAGAATGTTATCGGTTGTCTCCTATAACAAAACTGTGTTTTACAATTTACAGTGCTCTCAAAATACAGAGTTCAGTCAATGTTTAGCTGCATTAGTTATCACTTCTGAGTTCTGACAATTAAGTCAATGTTTAGCTGCAAGGGTAAGGTTGTGTCCAAGGATTGCCCTCACCTCTACCTTCCCTAGTCAGGGTTTAATGGGGAATGGTTTTTTTTATCTTCTATTAGTTGCTATCCAAACCATTTAGAGTCAAATATCAGAAACAATTTGGAGTTGGGTTCATCAAACCGTCCACCATGCTGTAGCAATTCATACAGCTACCTTAACCCTATTAATTCCTCTAGATACAAAGTGTCACCGTTTCAGAACTTAAGCATTTGTTTCATGTGGTGTTCTTTTAAATTTACAACCGTTCTACTTAATGTGACCAATAAAGTATATACCAATTAGTCGGTGTTAATATCGTTGATGGCATGGTGTGACAGGGCTGGAATAACGATGCTTCCTTGCTGTAGTGTTAGTTGCTTTTATGAAAATTGTTGGGTTAGTGGTTGATATTTTTAACTTACTGTACAGTATGTGATATCTTGTGGATCTTTTTTTTCTTTCCAATATTCTGTTTTAATATTCAAGTGAATCTCCATTATAATCTCATTATAGAAAGATACACAACATGAACAATTAACTGAATTTGGGGACATTAAAGTAATATTGTATTGATATTATTTGTTATGAGATCTTTGAAAGAGGGGCGGGGATAACTCTGTGCATTTGAATCTAAGGGCTCTTTGATGCTATCACACAATTAATTTGTCAATCTAAGCTATGTCTCTTAGAAATATTTGGGAAATGTGCAGGAAGAAGAGACAAGATCCTGGAAGAAATTAATTAACATCGCAGTCTCAGGTGCTGCTGGAATGATTTCCAATCATCTACTTTTCAAGGTGAATATATCTTGGATTTAAATTAGGGCCGGGTCAGTGAAGCATGTTAGAAGTTCAACTTGTCTATCTCTTATCTCAATTTATCTATTTTCAATTATTTTCTTATTATATCTGTACTCTCTTTTCAGACTTAGAATTTGTGTTTCTTTATATTGATTGAGGAATTTATTATGATAACCACATATGACATACCTGGATGAGCACTGCAGTAAATTGTTTAACATGCATATGCATCATTTTGGGTTTGAATTTGCTTATGTTATTCTTCGTAACATCATCTCTTCTCGAGCAATTGAAACTTACCACTATCTATAAATTTGAGATTTATAGTTTGAAAGCACCACATTCTTTTGCATGCAATAGAAATTGAATTGAGTATGAAAGCTAAATTGGAGATATGGTGTGTGTTTGCCTTTCTTTTAAAGATTTTTTCTACATTATGTTAACTGTTCAGGCTGACAACTTTATTTTGCATGTACTTTAAGATATCTTTTTATGAGAGAACTACTACCTTTAATGGGCATGCAATATAGTTCCACTCTGGAATCTGAGTTGATTTATTATGTCAGCTTGCATCTGGTGAAGTGTTTGGTCCAGATCAACCTATTGCTCTGAAATTATTAGGATCAGAAAGGTCACTCCAAGCTCTTGAAGGTAAGCTTCCTGCATACAGGAAATTTGATATTTGCTTTTGATTAAAATTGGGAATAGTATTACAACTTCCACCTAAGATATGTAAAGCTAACTCAGCCTCTTCCACCTTCCAACTCTTTGTGGCTCTAAAAATACTGCATAGAAAACCAACTAAAGGCATAATTTAGTCTCTTGCTTATGTGAGACATTGAATGTGACATTAGTTAATGCAACATCTACCATGCAAAAATAAGAAGAAAAAAACAAAACTAAGACAACTGGAGAATCGTGAGTGGTGCATAAGTATGTGGCATAACTAAAAGTTATTATGAAAAGATATAAGTAAAGACAAAGCAAATGAACAAATAACTCCAATTTTCCCTGTGAGCACCATTTGGCCTTTGCTTTCATACAATCAAAGGACAGAAATGACCTTGCCTTTAAATTAAAAACCTTTTCACTTATGTACTAAAAAAAAGATACTTTTCATTGAAGTTATGGTGTATTTGAGGTGTCTCATGATTGAGCCATTGCAAGAATGTATGCTTGAAGGATTTCCTGTTATCCAATAGTTCTTTTTCTTTTTATAATTGTTTTGGAGTGTGAACAATCTGATTAGAAGTTTTAACTGCAAAATTTGACACCTTTTCATTTAGTCATGTATTTTTTTTCCCCTTTGTATGTGTGGTAATGGAAATTGTATCACTACATCATTCTTTCTTTTAATCCTTTGTATATGATGGGTACTTCAAATTGTAAATTCATATTTACCACAATGGCAAGAACCCATATGAGCAACCCCATTAAGAATGAATACAGCTTATTACTAGAAAACATGATGTAGCTTTGGTAATTAGAAATTCTGCAACCATGTTCTGTCACCTATTTTTGAGTATGTCAGTGTATATGAGACTTTTGGTTAGTAGGTTTGTAAAATAATGGAGGCGGCAGGTGGGGAAATAGGTGTCTATTGTCTAGGTTGAATAGTTTAAATTCCCAAAATGCCCTTATGTTTTATATTTTATATTTCAACATATAAATTCAAAAGAAGATTTGTATATTATTGAATTTTGTGAATAACAGTACAATAATTCTCTATTTAAAGAGACTAAAAGACCTAATGGGTTAATCCCAAATAAGCTTCTAGAATATTCTAACTATTACAAAATAATGATACAAAACAATAATCAAATAATTCTAATATTTAATATTTAGAATATAAGCTTCTGTGTGTATCCCTTGGCTATCAGTCGAGCTTTATACTTCTCGAGAGTCCCATCAGAATTATACTTCGAAGTATACACTCATCTGGACCCTACTGCCCTTTTTCCATGTCAGTAACTTTCCATGTATTATTCTTCTCCAATGCATTCATCTCCCCATGCTTGGCTTGAACCCAATTATCATCCTTTAATGCTTCATGTACCTATTTCGGGATTGACATGTAGTCAAGTGCTGTAATAAAACTTCTATGCTACATAAAGAGATTCTTAGAGGAGACAAAATGAGAAATAGGGTATTGGGAACAAGACCTTTTCCCTTTCCTTACAGCAATGGGTAAGTCATCAGAATTAATATCAGGCTCAGGAATAAAAGAAGTAGTGTTTTCAGTACTTACCAGTGGTTCAGGCGATTACAATTGCTAGTGGGGCAGTATAGGTTGTTTCTTCTTTTGGTACAATAGTTCGGGTGTCCCAAATTTGCGTACTTTCCGTCTATCAATAGGAGGCATGTCACATGAGGAATCAGATGAATTTTTAGCCTCAGCAACTAAGTCTTCCTTATCAATGTCATGTAGTGTAACTACTGGAGTAGAAGATGTATGTAACGGTAAAGGAGATTCAGACTCGAAGAAAATGGATGAAGCTTGTATACTGTTCTCCCCCTGAAGCTGAGGGTGTAGAATGTAAAACTCAGATTCATGGAAGCTAACATTCATGTAGTGTATCCTTTCTTGTTGGGAGCATAGCCAAGGAAAACACACTTAAGGGCTCTAGGCTCTAATTTACACTGATGTTGTTTATGGATATGGACGAAGGCAACACATCTAAAGATACAAGACTGGAGACTTTGCATAATTAGAACAGAAGGAAAAAAAGATGTCATGAAATCAACAGGACTTACATGACCAAGGACTCTAGAAGGCAGACGGTTGATCAAAAATAGGCTGCAGTTAATAAGGCTTTTCCCCAGTGAGAGTTGGGTACAGATGTCAATAATGCTCTGGTGCTTCAAGCAAATGTCGATTTTTTCTTTCAGCAACGCCATTCTGTTGAAGGATATCCACACATGTGAGCTCATGAATCATACCCTTATCTGAAACAAATTGTGACAGATGCTGGTTGACATACTCCGTACCATTGACATATCTTAATCGTTGATCATGTGATAAAATCGAATAAACAATTCTGGTACTTTGACTTGTCTTTCATCAAGAATATCCATGTCACCCGAGAGCAATCATCAATAAAAGAAACAAACCACCTATCACCTATCCGAATGGATAAGAGTAAAGGGCTCAATACTTTTTATTGAACTTGAAGGAAAGGGCACACGGTGGTGTTTCGCAAGCTCACAAACATAACAATAGAAGGAGTCAATTGACTGATCCTTAAACAAAGAAGGAAACATTGACTTCAATAAGCCAAATGACGGGTGCCCCAGGCGTTTTTGATGAAGCCAAATCTGTGAGATTGAAGTAGACGAGTGATGACTCATCAATAATTGATTCTCGGTATCCCTTGTAGGATGCTCTAGAATGAGATAGTACAACCCACCCTGCTCCTTAGCAACTCCAACCGTCCTCCCCGTGGTGATATCCTAAATAACACAATGGGTAGGAAAAAAGGTGACAACACAATTCATATCAGCTTATAAGTGGAGATAAGATTGGTGGAGAGCTGAGGAACATAAAGAACTTTTTTAAAAAATAAGGAAGGTTGAATTTGAATGTTACCAGAACTCACAACTGATTTGTGGAATCCATCAGCTAGAGCATAATACGGATACCACTAGTGGGGTGATATGAAAGAAATGGATCAGCTAGACCAATCATATAATCAGTTCCACTAGAATTCATAATCCACGAATTTTTGAAATAAGTGCAAGAACTAAGAAGAGATGTAGGGTGTGTGATCTTACCAAACATAGTCAATCAAAACAGTAAAAAATAAAAGATCTCTTTTTTTTAAAAAAAAAAATCAAATGATGTTGAATCAAACAAACAAGTACAGATCCAGATAGAGCATGAAGAAGCTATTAGAACCGAAATGGTATGAGTCAAAAAATCATTGTCTCGCGTCGGTGAAACTGTCGGCGCGTGGACGTCATGCGCAGAACGAATGGTGGTGCGTGGAGGCGCGTGTGAGGTCCGTCGGAGCTGGGCGTTTTACAGTGGCGTCGTCTAGCGAGTGCAAACCTGTCTGTGGTTGTGCGAAGTCCAAAAGCCGCCAGAATAGTGCTGTTATGTGCCGGAACAATGTTGTCTGGGTTGTGCGTAGTTGTTGTGGTCATCCGGTGAATAGGAAACTTCTGTAGAATGATAGACTGGGAAGAAACAAAGTGAAACAATAGTTCTCTCGGTCCAAAAAGGTCCCCAGAAAAATCTCTCCAGTGGCAGCGAGAGTCAAATAGGGTTTTGTTTAAAAGACGGTGGTTTGCAGAAGCAGAGCCCTTAGAATCGAGAAGCTCTGATACCAAATTGAAAAGAAGATTTGTATATTATCGAATTGTGTGAATAACAGTACAATAATTGTCTATTTAAAGAGACTAAAAGACCTAATGGACTAAGCCCAAATAAACTTCTAGAATATTCTAACTATTACTAAATAATGATACAAACCATAATCAAATAATTCTAATATTTAATATTTACAATAATATAAAATAAAGGTTAGAACAGTCTTCCAACAATTTTTTATAAAGAAATACACCTCTCCAGTCTATAAACCCAGATTTGATGAAGGAATTCAGTGGTTTAAGGGGAGTGAGTGGTTCAGCCTCGTTCATACCATTCCATTTCCATGTTGCCAAAATTTCCACGCTACCATGAAACTTCTCATTACACTGTCTCCCCATGATTCTTCCCACCTAAGGCATTAACAGAATCTGCTACTGAGAGAGAGATGAGAAATTCAAATCAATAATAGAAATTTGAGTAATAACCATATGTGAATTTGACTTGTCAGGTCAAAATGGGCTAATGTTTATGTTTTCATTTTTAATTATATATGAATACATGTGTATTATACGGCCACCATTTTTGGAGTACCTTCAATCTGAATGTTCGGATTCAACATGCAGGTGTTGCAATGGAACTAGAGGATTCTTTGTTTCCTTTGTTGAGGGAGGTTAGCATTGGTATTGATCCTTATGAGGTGTTCCAAGATGCAGAATGGGCTTTGCTAATAGGTGCAAAGCCTCGAGGACCTGGAATGGAACGTGCAGGCTTGTTAGACATAAATGGACAGATTTTTGCTGGACAGGTAAAATGTAATTAAATTTAAGCCATATGTACTGCTTTCTCGTAAAAGACAGTTAAGTATACTGACATTATGTCAGGGAAAAGCAATAAATGCTGTGGCATCCCGCAATGTCAAAGTTATAGTAGTGGGAAACCCTTGCAATACAAAGTAAGTTTCGTGTTTCATGAGAACTTAGAAGTTGCGTGTTGTGCGTGTTGTTGCTATTGCTCATGCGTATTTTAATGCAGTGCATTAATCTGCTTGAAGAATGCTCCTAACATTCCTGCAAAAAATTTTCATGCTCTAACTCGCTTAGATGAGAACAGAGCAAAATGCCAGGTAACAAAGTTTATAAACTTCACTTTTTTCTTTTTTTAATTGTTCTACAGCAGAAGAAATGACAACTACCTTCTGTGTATTGTCTCAATTAAATGCTCAGCTAGCCCTCAAGGCTGGTGTTTTCTATGATAAAGTGTCAAATATGACGATATGGGGCAACCACTCAACTACTCAGGTCATTGAAGGATCATCATTACTAGAATAATGTACTTCAACTAAATTTCTTCAACTGTCTTTTATGATATGGTGTTAACTTGTTAACAGGTCCCTGACTTCTTAAATGCCAGAATCGATGGTTTGCCAGTCAAAGATGTGATTAAGGATCAAAAGTGGTTAGAGGAAGAGTTCACTGAAAAGATTCAAAAGGTAAAATTTGTAATTAGCATCCATTGTTAAATATGGAGAACAAAAGATGTATAGTTTCCTTGTGCTAAAAGCTGACAAATAATTGTTTGATTGGCAGAGAGGTGGTGTGCTTATTCAAAAATGGGGAAGATCATCAGCTGCATCAACTGCTGTGTCCATTGTCGATGCCATACGATCTTTAATCACTCCTACTCCAAAGGGTGATTGGTTTTCCACTGGTGTAAGTTGATATTAGTTAAATGATGTATTTATTGATATAGAGGATCTATCTTTTTATTCTCTTATTTTTTTTTAGTTTCTAGTTTCTACTTCAATTACAAAGTTTGCAATTGCAATACCAGGTATATACCAATGGAAATCCTTATGGAATAGCTGAAGATATTGTTTTCAGTATGCCATGCCGATCAAACGTAAGTGCGTGTACTGTGTTATTCATTCTTTTTAATTTCTAAAATTGATGTTGTTTCTCCTATGACAAAAAAATTTGTCCTTTAGGGAGATGGTGATTATGAACTTGTCAAGGATGTTATATTTGATGACTACCTCCGACAGAGAATAGCCAAGGTACGTGTGTATCATAATATATTTTACACAACAAAAGAACCTTATAATGTTCATGTTTTATAAGATTATTCACGTGTACCCTGAACCTTGAGTACTTGCATTATCTATGAAGTTTGAATCTTATTAGTTTAACATGTCATATTTTGCAGACTGAAGCTGAGTTGTTGGCAGAGAAGAGATGTGTGGCTCACCTAACAGGCGAGGTAAGCATCATGTTACCATTTCCTTCTAATGATTTTAATGATGTTTGCTGTCATCTGAACATAGAAATTCTCTCTTATCAGGGAATTGCTGTTTGTGATCTACCTGGTGATACTATGCTCCCAGGAGAAATGTAACAGGCCAATCTCGTGAATGTCAAATCTGATATTGAATTAAGATCACACTGATTGATTTGAATAATGGTTGTTATGGAATAAGCGTGCAAAAATTTTACTTAGCAATATTAAAAGTTTAAAAACATTCATTTGATTTTAGAAGCATAAAACTTTTGAATAATGTGAATAGGATGTTGTGAAAGTAATTTATACTTATGTAACTTGAGATGGCTTGCCTAAATTATCTTGTAATACAAATCGAACTACCAAGTTAGTGAGTTGAGCATAGTTTCGAATATTCTGATTTTCTCATCAAACCTGCATATCCGCTCATTGAATTTCTTGTGCTTTTTTACCCATGTAAAGCAAAATTAGAAACATTTTATTCGTATAATTCTTTTGGTAAATTATTTACCAATCTAATGCAAAAAGATGTGCATCATAGCTGTGCGTATTTAAGTTGTGCATCATTCCATACGTGACTTGTATAAGCCACAGCGCATTGCAAGATACGCATAAGTGAGTTCGTAACTGGAACGTGCATGAGATTGATGTGCATATTGCAAAGTGCAACACGTGGTAGGCATGTGCCGATTTTTGCACAAATTGCGTATGGGGTGATGTGCGGCTTGAATACAAGTATCATTTCATATTAGGATTGATAAATAGTTTTACGAAAAAAAATTAACTTATAAATAGTTACATTTACATGATTGACCCGAATTTCTTATCTCGAGCATCAGATTTCCTTTAAAAAATGTCTTGAGATAATCTTGAGCACAGGAAGTATCATGGATGTGGTGGTGACTGGTGAATGCATTATGTAACTTGCAAAGATAGATGCTGCTTTTACAGTTAGTGATAATACAGTGGTAGTGGTGGGTTTAAACTAAAATAAAGAGAAACATGAAGAAGGTGATGACTGAAGAAGCCTGCTATAATCCTTATTGTTGAGACAAACCCTACGGCATCTTCCATTTACGAGTAGACAAGAATAAGAAACAAAAATCTATGGTTATTCCCTGATAGCAGTTTCCCCTATAACTCCTCCTCTGGAATTTACAATTGTCAAGCAACATTCTCGATCTTTCCAATTATCTTCTAATGTCGTGTCTGAAATTTAGAATGTCACGGATGTCGAGCAACATTTTTTGCATGCAATTACAAATCTATGTCTGTCAGCACTGTGTCAAATACAGATCCACGCCACACCTGCAGAGGACCAAAAACAGGGAACAAATATGAACGGGGTAAAGCAAATGGTGAGAAAGAAAAAGCACGATACGATGAAAAGGAATAGGCATCAGGCACAAGAGTTTATATATTACATAGGAGGTGTTTCTTTGGATTGAGCTAGGTAAGATTGAGTCGAAGAAAATTTTGCTTACTTTATGTTATCTTAGTTTTATTTTACCTATACAAATTTTTGTCTCATTAGGGTCCAAGGTCTTATAATTGAAATTTCATTTATATCTGTGTCAAAGCTTAATTTTTAAAAATGGATAAGGAAAGAAATTAATTAATTACATTAAAAGTGTAGAGTCGGAATAAAAAGAAAATATACAATAACTCATGACATAAAATAGAAGTTATAAAGAAGAAAATAAAAGTAAAATTATTTGAGTCTCTGAGGTGACGTATTTGTTGCGATTTGTTTAATTTGTTTTCTACAAGTATATACTAATTGACATATTAGTTTGCGAGAAAAGATATTCTGACAATCAATTAGTGTTATTATCAATATTATCAATCAATTTCATCGTTAGATCGATTATTTGATCCCACGGTTATATTTATTTCCATCTTTGTATGGTTATGATTTTTCATATTTAATGTTTTATATTTATTTCACCTTTGTATAGTTATGATTTTTCATATTTAATGATTTCACATTAAATATGAAAAATCATAACCATACAAATATGAAAATAAATATAACCGTTGATCAAATAATTGATCTAACGGTAAAATTGATTGTAATAACATTAATAGTAATATTAATTGATTGTTACAATATCCTACCCCTAGAGTCAGGATATTCTAACTACCAAAAATTCTTACTAGTAACTTAGTACCCATCACATCACCATTAGATCAAAGAGAGAAAATGTTAAAAAAAAATTGAAGAGAGAAAATGTTAATCTAATGGTGATTAGATAGATAGTAAATTGATACTAAAAAATTTTAATAGTGAAAATATCTCTCCTTATATATATATATATATATGGGGAAAACATTTCTCAAGCTGCTTGAGATAATGTTCTCTCCGGCTAAGTGAAACTACGTCGTTTTGCATTCAGATTTCAAGTAAAATAATTTTATTTTCTAAATAGAACATCCATTATTCCATCTTCGTTCCCTTTTAGTCAATCACAGAGCTCTTCATCCTCAATCCCTAATCAGAGAGCGTTCTTCTCCTTCATTGCTGGTCATTCTTCCTCTGAATCATTTTCCCTCTCAGTTCTTGGACGTTCACTGCTCTCTCCACCATTTGCTGCAACGCCCGTGCTCAACCAAAGACAGGTATTTGACTCTAGTTCATCAGTGCCCTAATCTATCATGTTCTTTAGTTATCCTTGTTCATAGTGATGATAAGATAAGAAATCATAGACGATGTTAATTGTTCGGGCAGAATGCAATTTCTTGAAATTATGTTACTTTTTTTAAGTCACTTTATTCTGCATTTTAAGCCTAAAACAGATACTTGTTATCCAGCATTTCTCTTTGTTGTTACTGTATTTATTTTATGTGTGAGGATAATGCTTCCATAACTTGTCCCATTTGCCTGCACCTGATTTTTTTTTTCCTTTTATTGTTCATTACTCTAGTCAGCGAGCTGTGTCAACTGCATTGTGGTGTAACTTTCTTGTTTTTTCTCTCAAATTTGGAGTATGGTTAGCTTCCTCTAGCCATGTTATGTTGGCTGAAGTTGTGCACTCTGTTGCTGATTTTGCAAACCAGGTATGTCAGTGCTTTAGACTCCGTTTGATTTTTTGAAAAAAGGGGATATTCTAAGAAAAAGGGACTAAATGGCAACACAAAAAAAGTATTTTATTTAATTTTTAAAAGTCTTAAGTAATAGGCAAGGATATTGTCTCAATCCTGTCAACTGACTAGCATATGCCAGATAGAGATGACTGGTCCTCCAACTGGTGTTCTAGTAGCCAAACAATGCATAACAAAGCGATGAAGAGGCAGAGTAGAGTTCTTTGTGCTTTTTTATTGCTTTCTAGTTTGTATTCTGTTCGTATTTATAGCTAATAGTAAATACCAGTATGCAAAATAGTCATATGATTCATATGAGAAATGAAAAAGAGAAAGAAATAAAGATGGTTAGAAGATACCATTTGTTTTTTATTTTATTTTTATTCTTTTTTTAAATTTGTAGACGGATTGGAAACATAGGAGGAGACCAGAAATTAGGAAACTAATACATGAAGGGTTATAGTGTAGCAGACCAGAACCTTGAGCTCTTATGTACTCGTGCATTGGGAAGATTTCGCTTGTGATTACAAGGGGAAAGGAATTAAACGAGGAAACAAAATGAAAGTTACTCATCATACATTATCAGTTAAATAACACTAAAGCCCGGGACAGAGGGCAGGAAAATAAGTGAAGCTATATAACAGAGGTTTCTTTTTCTTTCATTTCAGTACTGACATTTACAGCATGTTTTGAGATTCTGCGGACTGCATTATAACCCACAAGGGTACATATTGGAACATAGCTAAATCTCAAGTCCTATGGCTATGGAGAAACTTCAGATGACGTGTATTAAGCATGGTAAAGGCAAAGAAGGTCAAAAGGGTGGCCAGAGCTCAAAACATTGTCAGCAAACATTGAACAACATAAATCATTAATGTCTCAACAAACCCACCTCAGTCAGCATCGATAACCTATAGGTTTCGCAAATTGGGGCACCGACTAGCAAGACTTTTTAGAATTTTTTTTTTTAAATCTGAATCGACGAAGACGGCATAAGAGAAGTGCGCTCTGATCGACCATTATCAACGCTCTGTTATTCTTCCAACCCATTATCAACGCTCTTCAACGTGGTTCAGATTGGGGATGAAGAGCTCTATGATTGACTAAAAGGGAACGAAGATGGAATAGTGGATGTTCTATTTAGAAAATAAAATTATTATTTTACTTGAAATCTGAATGCAAAACGACGTAGTTTCACTTAGCTGGAGAGAACATTATCTCAAGCAGCTTGAGAAATGTTTTCCCATATATATATATATATATATATATATATATATATATATATATATATATATATGAAGTAGGATATTCTTACACTAGTATAAGAGTTACAAGTCTTACACTTAATCTTGATCTAATGGCTCACGTTACTAAAAAATTAGAGTCCTTAGATATAAGTGGAATAAATGATCAAGATTGAGAATGTAACTTACTCTAGTGTAAATAATCTTGATCCTATATATATATATATATATATATATATATATATATATATACACTCTAAAATCACAAAAGGAGGTAATCATTCACTGTACACGAAAGACCTCCAGATTTTCACATATCATATTTTTTTTTAGTAAATATTTTAAAAATCCTATTTTTTAAAAAATTTAAATAAAACTAGTTGAAAGTCAGAACACATGGACTCGCTTGATCTGGAATACAGCATCTGATTTTATGCATCAACGATCAAGTGCTCTACAGCAAAACTCTAGACATTTAATACTCCATCCTGATCTTAGGCTCAACCAAAAATCAACAGCACACATGAACATAAAACCAAGCTACATCATGTGGTGGATACCCTACATCTCTACATAAAATATTTATCACTTTATGGAATGTCAACAGCTGCTCCCATCCATACTATCAAACGAGACAAAAGAGAGACAAACCTTTAAGCTTGTTTGCTATATTTAGTGAATCAAATTACATGTCCAACTCGGTAAATATCAATCAGAACATTGCATCTATTGAAAAGTAAATATTAACAATAATATGTATTAAGAATTGTATTTAAGACATTATACTCTATTTGATGGCACTCTGAAACCAAAAAATATATTGTTAAATACAATGAAGAATATATAGATCAGTATGACTAAATTAGCATAAAGAAATCTACAAGGCCATGGGAACCTAGTCATTCAATGAGTACCATGGACACCAAACGATACTCAACTGGCTGCAGTTTATTCTCTCATAGCCAACCTCACATTTTCATTTACCAGTATACATGAAGCATCCAATCTTTAGACTCAGTGAAAGAATCATAACCGAAAAAAACATCAAGAAAATCCAGCCATGTGACAACACAAATGCGGTCTTGCCAGAGACCAAGCCAAAAACAGGCATCAAACCAGCAGAATTAACATCAGGCTGAGAAAACTCAGTAGATATTATTGCGTTAAACCCTCCATTCTTGCCTACCATCCAGTCCATCGCATTGCCTCTAAAAGTAATGTCTGTTATGCTCATCATGCCCGTAGTTACATGAGCTGAATTGGAAGACTGAGCTGCAGGATGAAGCCTAAGAGCAATCTCCTTAGTAGGAAACTCTGAAGCAAATGCAGGCGGAGCAGGTATGCTGGCCAACAATTTATGGGCCTGCTTCACAAATGGATTTGTATTTCCTGCCAAACAAAGAAAAGAAGAACTTCCCCACGTAAGTACTAATGAGCCAGAAAACATAAGTCAGAAGGGATAAAATACCAGTTTAAAAGCCATATTGATCCACTGGAACACACACACAAACACACATCAAAAGAACAGCTAGACAAATGAGGATGCTAAGTGATTCAGGTCTCACCTGATACCGAATTTGAACCCTGCTGATTCTTCTTTAAAGAAGCTTCATCATTAGATTGTGCTTCAAAATCATGTTTGCTTGCCATGGAAATATTATTGGTTTCTCCCTCCACATTCTGAGGATGACCCAAAAATATATAACAGACAGATATAGTACAAGTCAAAAGGAAAATGAACTTTAAAAACTACAGTAACCAATTACCTGCTGGATGAAAGGTGGTCCTTGGTCAGAAATAGGGTTTTCGCTCTCCAAGCTCGGAGGAGAATCAAAAGATATATACTTGCAAATGTCGTCATCAGGGTATGTAAGATATTCATCTAGCATACCAATACCATAAGGGTCTTCCTCATTCAAATTACCCTCACCCGGATTCCCAAGATCATTGGTTTCCAGGAATAATCCATTGTCAATGGTATTGAAGTATGGATCCAGATCATCAACGGCGTAATTGAAATTCAATGGATTCTCATTATGGCTCAACTCAACATTGTCTCCATCTTTCGCTAAATTGGCGTCCACCCCATATTGCTCAGCCATATTGAAAGGTTGATCATTTTGAGGCTCAGAAATTTCAACAGTGCCTGCCAATGGCTTCTGATCGCTTATGAATTCTTGGGAATGCTCAGGATAGCTACTACACTCCCCGTGGTAGAAGTTTGATGTAAAATCAGCACCTCCAAGTGTAGCATCAATATCAAGCTTCTGGTAATTAAAGAAAAAATTTGAGTTAGATAAATGAATATGCTGCGCACCTCAGAAAACAAATCAGCCCTACAAGCAAGAGCCATGGCATATATGTTAGCAGAAGAAATCACAATAGAGAAGGAATAGAAAAACTGCAGATATACATTCTTTATTTTCAACAACAACAAAAAAGTCAAAACAATGACAAAACCTGTGTAGAGGCATATGACCATGATAACAAATACATAAAATATGCATAGATTGCGTGCTTACTCAGCAGTCAAGTTAGTAATTCACATTTAACATTTACCAATATTTTTTCAAGATCTTCCGAGGGAAAAAAATTTCTATTAATTAGACATTTCTAAAAGCAGCAATTATGAGGAAGATCTATCTTAAAGAAAATTACGTAAAGGATGATAAAAATAACAGCACCCAAATAACGCCCCCACATTATTGAGACACTAAAAACATGTGGACAAAGTATGCGAATAAATTATATGGGACCAAATGATAAGGTCAAAACATAAGTGAACATAGATACAAGTAAAACTGCACAAACATACATACAATTACGACTCAGGTATGAGTTCACCCAGCCTACACACCGAGGAAAGTTTAATTAATTCGTATACAAAAAAAAAAATGAAAAATAATACCCATCATTAGGGATCCAACGCAAACCTGCTCAAGGTCGTCCGTTTCAACAAAAGCACCAGTATCACCAGCAGACACTTCATTGAAAAACTCATCATCACCAGCCGGCACATCATCGTTTTCCCATTCCTCCTCAATCAAGGGGGCACCATACTTCTCCCCATTCTTGGGCCCAGCACCACTCTTCTCGAAAATCCTACACAGCACAAAAGCATCCTTCTCCACCCAACAAAAAACAAACACACACAAATCTCATCTCCAATAAGAATCAACACCCAAAAGAAAATAAATAAATAAATATAACAATAAGGAGAAGAATAATAATGAAATAATCAATGGATATATATATAAGGGTACCTGCGCTACTCCAGCCTGGATCAATTCCTGATCAACCAACTTATATTCGTGCATCACCCAATTGGAACGAGCGCCACGGGGGGCGCGTCCGGAGTGGTAGACGAGGGTCTTCTTCATTCCAACAACCCGGTTGCCGTGCTTGACGGCGCGATCCTTGCCGGTGGTCTTCCAGTACCCTCTCTCGGTGGCGCGGTTCGTCCTCGAACCGTTCCCATACTTCCTGTCCAGCGCGCTGAAGAAGTACCACTCTAAATCCCTCGTCTGCAGCTTCGACTTACCTAAAACACCAAAACAAAAACAAAAACCCTCACTCAATCACCAAACCCTATCAGATCGAGAGAAACCCTAAGCAAGATCGAGGACGACACATACGGTTACAGATTAAAGGCAAAAAGGGGGGGAAATAGAGAGAGAAAGAGAGGCTAACAGGGAAGATCCCAGGGCTCGAACTTGTAAACGTCGACGACGGCGATGGGGTCGACGCGGAAGGATTTTCCGGTAACCTTGCGCTTGAGGTAGAATCGGACGAGCTCTTCGTCGGTGGGGTGGAATCGGAAGCCGGGAGCGAGCGAGGTTGAGGATTTCCGTGCCATGGATTGGAGAGCAAGAAAGACAGAGAGAGAGAGAGAGAGAGATTTGGGAATTAGGGATTTCAATCGGAGTCAGAGAAATGGAAAGGGAAGAAAGAAGGGATAGAGAGAATAGACATTTGGGAAAGGGAGAAGAGTAAATGAAAATGCGAGTGAGGTGGTTTTCATCATATCCAATTCCCAAAGAAGGTTCTAGCAGGTTGGAACGAGCTATGAACTGACGACGTGGGTTTTTGTAGAGTCACTTGTCGGTGAGCTTGTCCCCGTCACCAGCTATGCGTCACAGTGGTGGGTGAGGGTAAGAAAAGTGATGCGGTGGCGGCTACGAATTAATCTGTTTGCGTGGATGTCTGTGAGGAAATAACGTGGCGGTATATGATTTACCAAATGATGTGCATATGATGAGAATCAGAAAAAAAAAAAAACAAATAAATGGACAATTTTAAATTACAATATTTATAAAGGGAAAAGCATATGTAATTTTAAAGTAAAGTACCTTTTTATCTTTAATACAAGTTATGGTATTCATTTTATTCTTTAGGGAAAAAATTAACTTGTAATCTCTTTCAAATTTAAAATAGACTAGTTAGTATTTAAAAAAAAAAAAAAATAGACTAGTTAGTTGAAATCGTGATTTTTTCTGAAATTCAAAGAAGATCCACATTAATTCCTTAAAACGACTAACATTGGTCTATTTTGAATTTTAAAAAAATCACAATTCGACGTTTTTTTCTAAAAGACTAAATTGAGCCCGTGATATTTGTTGAGGACACAAAAGGTTATTTACTCTAATTTTAATGAACACCTGTCATTTTAATTGAAACTAATGTATTTTGGTAATTTTTATCGTTTTTTTCTTTCATAATCTCTCGTTTTTCTCTTTTTCTAATTTTGTAGATAAAAGAGAATATAAAATATCATAACGTAAACTTCTTTAAATTAACAAATATTTTTCCCACTTATAAATCAAGTAAAACAATAAATATTTTTACTTATTTAATTAAACTTATCTATATATATTTAAAAAGTGCCTTTATTTTAAGAGATTAATGTTTATCATGTCATATGAGATAATTTTATCTCTTATACACATAAAAGTATGTAGAGCCCATATAGTGTTATACAAGGAGATGATAGAAAAATAAAAAATATGAATCCCATATTTTTATATGTGTAAGAGATAACAACTTAAGAAACATTAATCTCTTATTTAAATAAATTTTACTACTCTAAAGTGTTGTAAAAAAATGCAGTGTCAAACATACGAGATGATCTACTTCCTGAAGGAAATAGATTCTTTTATATATTAATTAATATAATCATTTCATGTGGAAAGATTCTCATTATTCATAGGCAAATCAATACTGATGGAGAATAAGAGAAAAAAAATATTAGAATAGGAAATGACAAAATCAGGCTTTTTAACCCTTTTACCTCTTATTAATTAAAAAATAACAACTTTGCCCCCATTTCAATACTATACACTTGTGTGCCCTTGTTTCAATACTATACACTTATACGCCCTTGTTTAATCGATTACAAAAGATGTTTAATCGATTAAGTATTAAATAAAAAAATATTATAATCTGCTTTCAGCATATCTCTTTTTTTCTTTCTGCGAGTAGAAACTGCAGGGCTCTTCTCGTGCTGCACCTATGTTCTCTTCTCCAACTACTCCTTTCGTTGGATTCAAAAATTCATGCATTCCTTCAACTTGAAACAGTTTAAAGCAAGAACCTTTTTAAAATAAACTTCCCATCATCACAATTTCAGAAAAGGGTTTCTGAATCAAAAGAATGCAGAAAATGATTAGAACAATTTATACAATTTACAGTAATAAAGAAATCGAGATCATCCCAAGAAATGCAAGAATGAAACATTTTGAAGATATAAAAGCTGTTGCACATGATGTTCCGATTCCAAGATATAAAAGTAAAACCACAATCAACTTGAGACTTTGGTCTACAAAAGCTGCATCAGAAGAATTTAATTTATATGCTTTTAATTCTCGAAGGCAAGCGGAAGCATATGGTGCTCTATTTTTAAAAGGGTTCTTGCCCACCCCTTTTCTGAAATTGTGATGGTGAATTGGTGGGACGTTTATTTTTAAAAAGGTTCTTACTTTAAATTGTTTCAGTTAAAGAATTGGATGAATTTTTGAACCCAACGGAAGCTGAAGGATTAGCTTAAGAGAACATAGATGCAAACGTACCAGCAAGAGGAGAGTCCCTCTCGTTTCTATTTGCAGAAAGAAAGAAACTGAGATGCTGAAAGGTGATGATAATATTTTTCCGGCCCTTAATCGATTAAATGTTTTCTTAATCGATTAAACAGGGGTAAATGAATATATAGTATTAAAAAGGGGGTAAAGTGGTTATTTTTTAATTAACAAGGGGTATAAGAGTCAAAAAGCCGACAAAATCATCATCATTAATTTACCCACAAGTAGCTTACCAAAAAAAAAAATTACCCATAAGTAGTTAGAATTTTGTCACATAAACGGTCATGTTAATTAGCAGATAAAAAAATCTACTCCCCAGACATCTATACGACTAATTAACATAGAATCTTACGAATTATTAATTATTTACATTTTCTAAATATGATAAGTAGTAACACGAAACCCGTTAAGATAATCTAAAAGGTAAATCGTTCACAAATAAATTAGAGATTGAATTATAAGTAAAGTACATTTCTATGTTTTATGCATTCAAAAAAGAAAAGAAAAGAAAAGAAACGAAATGTTCGATTTTAAAACTCTCTTAAGTATGTATGGCTATAATAAGCTAACATTTTTTTATATGAATATCGGTATCTTAGATAAATTGTTTAACATGCATTGGTTAATGATTTTACAATAAATATTTAAAATGTATTAAGTATAATGAGTTAGTAATATGTATTTCGCAACTGGCTCAATATCTATTTTAAAAATATATACTATTACCCAATAAATATAGCTCAATTGGCAACATACACTTGGTAGATGAGGAAAGAATCTGCATTTGATTATTACTAAACACCTGAATCGACATTAGTCTCATACCCAAAAAAAAAAATTATATATTAAAGTAATCCTCATTAAAGATGTAATCTTATGTTAAGCGTATTTATTGGAGAATATGTTTTTTTTTTAAACATTTATTAGAGAATATTTAATGTCACTTATTAAACTTTTTTATATACTTAATAAATATATCATAAATGCTTTTTTTGAGTTTCCAATGTATCAGATTTTGTGTGTTTTATTTAATACTTATTATTTTTAATTCATTAACCAATGATCGATCACAGAGTATTCTCTTAACAACACCTTTTATTCTTTTCTTTTTTACTGAAGTATTTGGGAGAATAATTGAAAATTCAAGGGATTTAGCTCAGTATGTTAGCATTGAAGTAGATTATGCAATATTAATGTAATAGCATATGTCTCCTGATCTGTTTGATATTCTTATTGCTGAAAATAGTAAATGTAATCAAATTTATTAAATGTTAATTAAAAATCCCAAAATAAATAAAATAAGCTAAAATATTTGAAAATTAGTACTTAATATAGAAAAGTATCAGTATAAAAAATATACACTAGTCTATCTATTTATTTATTTTTTTGGTAATCACTAGTCTATCTATTAATTTAGAGGGAGGTTACACTTACAAACTCTTTTCTCTTATAATTTCTTACAACCACTTCCATAGTTGTTGGATCAGAATTAAATGTCGTTATTGGATCAGAATTAAATCAAGGGCTCTCATTCAATATCATTTTGTAACCGTTGATATGATTCTGATGCAACAATCATAAAAGTAGTTGTAAGATATTAATTATAACGGAAAAGAGATTGTAAGTATAACATTTCTTATTAATTTTTTATTTTTATTTTTATTTTTGGTACATCAAAGGGGCTAAAACCTCAAAACAAACACACACAAAAAAACAAAAAACAAAAACAGGAGAACAAAAAACAAAGCAAAAACTAAGGCAAGGAACCAGCTAAGGCATCTCCAGGATCTACGTAGTCCGCATATAACAGAGGGCACATCTTCATATGAGGGAGAGCAAAAACAGAGAGACCATAATTGTTATTGAGAGCATCTTTAGCCATCCCGTCCGCACACCTGTTGGAAGATCTAGGAATATGGGAAAGAGATACATTTCAATCTTTGCTCAACCAGACTCGAATCTTAGCTATCAGAGGAAGCTTTCGTGTGTTATTACCATTGCTGGTAAGTAAGCATAAGGGGGTTTTGGTATGAGTATTTTGATCGAAATGATGGGAAAGTGAGGTTGGGTTTATTTTTTGACCATGTTTGATATCGGGAAACATAATAAATTCTCAGCCAAATAATTTCCCCAGCATTTGAGTTTGTAACTACAGACTAGAAAAAAAATCCCTCCTTACACATTGTATTTTTTCCCCCTTGAATTAATATTCTGATTTTTACGTTTTGGGACCAAAATGCCCTCTTGTTTCACGACTGACATGACATGCAATATTTTCAAAAATGATGCGTAATCTGGTAAATTCGATTCACATTTTCATCAATATTTTACAATCAACCAAACGTAGCATTAGTCAAATTAACCCAACTTTCCTGGCAATATTTTGGGCTACCAAACGCCTTTTCGTTACTTCCCCCGACAAAATATTTTCCTACCATATTCCTAGAAATCTTTTTTTACAGGTAAAAAAATATCTCTTGTAACATCGTTTAAAATTAACTCTTATAAAGAAGGGAAAAATTACTCTTATGCTACATGTGATAACTTTCTCTCCTACACATTCTTCGATAATTGTGCCACATTTTTCTTTTCTTTTCTTTTCTTTTTACTTTTAGGTGGTGGAGCCCACAAATTTATCTCTATGACATGAGATAACTTATCTCTTTTAACATGAGATTAATAAAATCCTATAAAGAATATTACATGATTTCTTTAAATTTATGCTTTATTTTTTCGTATAAACAATAAGAAATAAAATGGAGAGGTGTTAATGTTATTAATAAATATAAATTGATTTCTTAAACTTTACTATTAACGATAAGAACAATTAAAAAGAACTATATAAACATCTACCAACGTCACTTTATACATAACATTAAGTCAGGTACATGCTGAAATTATTTTATACTAGTCCTACATTCTACTATATATTGCATCACTTTAACTTATATTTTACATTCTAGCATCATATAATTATACAA